AAGGTATTTGTCCTTGTCCAAGACGTTAAAGGGAGTAGGAGTCAGTGGTTTGAAAAAGTTTTCGATAAGAGCAGCGTCTGAAGCTAAGGACGGGTCTAGCTGTTCTCCAGAGCCAGAGGTTGAAGCAACTGGTGTCTTGAGAGTTTGTTGGTGTTCTGTTGGGTTGAAGCGATGCTTATTTTTCAATGACGCTTGTTTGTTTTGGTTTTTTCTGACCATAGTGAATAAAAGTAACTTCTAAAATAAACTCTTCTCTGGTTGTGAAAGTGTATTTGAGCTGTTGTAGAACTATAAGACTAACTAACAGAGTCAAAAATATAATAGGACTTTGAAGGTGAACATTTTTATTTTCTTAGACTTTATTTTCGAAAAGTGATTGACGGAAAGAGTTTTCCTTTTTTTATTAAAATTTTAATATAATTTTACTATTTGATAAATTTAAATCTAATTTTACTTTTTTTGATTTTTTAATATAATTTAATATAATTTTTGCTAAGTTTTACCTTTTATCATTTAGATGATTTTACTAAACTTTTATGTTTTAATTAGCAACTTTAATTACAAATATTAAATTCTTTAAAATAATAATATATCAAAATTTATTTATTAGAAATGGTTTATTGATGATCTCTATATATTGGTAAATAAACATTTTTTTTATTATCAGATATTATAAAATTAAATTCATAAGCCAATACCAAATGTTATATCATATATATAATTCAAATAATAATAAATAATAATAATAATTAATAATAATAATATAATGAAATTCTTTTATTCTTTTTATTTAATGAAATTATGTAATATATAAATTTAGTGAATTATGAAATGTTATTTATATAAATATTATTTTACAGGAAAAAACAAAATCTAAATTAGCGATATAATAATTGTATAATATTTTACAATATACAAAAGATTTTTACACAAGTGGAGTTGTTGAGGAATAAAACATTTTCTTTTTAAAAGTCTACCAATTCTTTAACATATCGATTAACTCCAACCAAAGACTTTACAGCAGACACCAATTTAATAAGTTCATTTGTAAGATGACTTGTTTTTATAAGATAGGAACAATAGCAAGCATAAGCTGGTGTCTCTAGATCATCTCTTGTTAACCCAGCAGCTGTCTGTCTAATCTTTTTTGAAATTCTATAACCTAGACTAACTTGTCCAAACTTTGTCTCAGTTGAAGAAACAATATTATAGGGTGGTAAAGGGACTCGATTTTCCAACGCTGTTGATAAAATATGAAAGGCTGTCAAAATATGTGTGATATAATGACATTTCGATGGATTTAAAACATCAGCTAAATCTGTTTTCCATTCAGTTCCATTTAATCCATGTAATGTATATTCTATTCCGCTTACAAGATTGACCATATGTTCTACAATCTCTATCATATGAGCATATTTTTCCATAGGATAATTTCCTCTTAATGGAGGTTCGTACACCGTACGAGATAAAAGCAATCGTTCGATAGCTATGGATCGATTAATTCTAGTGACAAGTTTTCGGAATGGTTTTGTTGTTATAAGATTACCGGAATACTTATCTCCCTTAATAAGGTAAGAAACCGTCATTGAATAAAGAACTCCAATATCTGCGATTGTGCGTGCGAGTCGATGGCGAACTTCGACACGTCCAGTGTGGGGCCAAGGAATCATATTCATGACAAAAGCTGCTGTAATACCAATGCTTACGGCTGTCGTTCGCTGTTTTTATATATAAAGATAAATGTAATAATATTTAATTATAAAAAATTTCAAAATTTAATCTACGAGATAAAAAATAATTTATTTATTACAAACCTTTGCAGCTATAGTGTAAATATCATCAACACCGATACCATGACTGGCTTGATATGCATTTGTAAGAACCAATGGGAAGTTCACCAACATAATAATACCACCAACAGTCCATACTTTCGCGTTCAGGTAGACAAACCAAAGGAGAAGAGAAAATAAGAACAAGACAGATGCCAAACCATATACGTTGCCATTAGTCATTTTCCATGCTATTAATGCCATTACGGCACCTGTACCCACACCGAGAAGTCGACCCAAGAATTGAAGGACTGCGCCACCGGTCGTTGGTGCAAACGAAAGTACGGCACTAACAACTGCCCACTATTATCGCAAAGAAATAAATTATTATAATTTTTAATAATACCGTTTAGATATATATATAAAAATAATCTCCACTCACCTGACCGCGATAAATATCGAACCACTTAGAAGATTCGGGTAAGAATGCCGGTAAACTTAGACAGGTAACAACCAAAGCGTTCTTGAAGGCAAATACCGCGTATTTACTATCAAACCAGTTTCTTATACGCCAAAGATTATACCAGAATTTTTGAATTGAATTTGATGGCGGAGTTACATCAGGATCAAAAACTTCATTTCCAAGTTCTTCCTCCTCCTCTTGTCTAGTTTTATGTTCAAAAATTTTCCAACCATCTTCATCAATTTCACCAAAATTTCTTATTCGTTTCAAAATCGGTATCATAGGGAACCAAAATTTCTTGGATTGCCTTGTAGTTGAAAGAACTTTAACTAATCCTACCAAGAAGCCAAGACTCTCAGCAACCTCTTTAAGACTATTCTCAAATAGGATCAGCAACAATAATAATCTCTGTGGCGAAGGACTGATTGTTCTCGTATTAGCAAACAAACGAGTCAAACTTTCCTCACGTGAATCATTGAATTTTGCAATGGCCTCCTGTAAGTAACCAAAAGGATCATCAAGAACGTTTTTATTATGATCCGCTCTAGGCTTAAGTTTGAATGGCCACCATCGGTAATACCATGGGTCACAACAATTGTGTTGCAGATGATCCACACGTGCAATACAATCTGCTAAACACAATTGACATGCTTCTGAAAGTTCAGTACAAATAGGTTGAAGGATCTTTAAAAGGTTCGTAAGATCCTCTTCATTAGCAATTGTTCCTATGGTACTGGTGGGCGAAAGAGGTTCGTCTATACTAAAAGATGCTTGATCCGTAATTGATTGTCGATCAGTATTATTACCATCAATCCGAATTTCTACAGTGCCTTCTTGCCCATCCCTCATTAATTCTTCTTCGATTACACCACTTAAGGCCAATCCTCCTAACGTCATATTCATAGATTTAATGAGTCTAGTTATTTCCAAAATATCTTCTGGTCCAATTTTCGAAAAGGAGACTTCATGTTGAGCTTCTTGTCTTGCTTTGTCAAGATTTGCAAGATTATCTTGTACTGTCCTATGAAGTTTAGCGAAAGTATTTCTATTGTAAGTATCTCGAAGGAAAAAATGAGTTTCTTGATCAAGTAAATCAATAAAGCTCTGTAAAGTTTCGTGTAAGTATGGAATATAATTTGTCGTAGCATGTTCTGGCCATAAAGTGATATTAACCAAGAGAGAGCATGCAGGTCCGATCAACATTGGAATTAACAAGGATTTCTAAATAAATGAACAACAAGAGTAAAAAAAAGGAAATTTAACGTGCCGGAAAAATAACTATATAAATGATACTACTTAACTTACCATGATATGATATGTATTGTGAGGTCTTACGTAAGCTTGTGTTAAAGAAAAGGTCATGATGATGCACGCATTGATGGCACCATATCGCATCGGTGGCCATTTAATTTTATCATATGATAAGACAAATGTTCCGACCGCTAAGAAAGAAACATGTATTATCGTAGCCCAGATATCAAAGATTTGGCTTGGATCACGTACTGCATTAGATAATGTAATACCAGTTAAAGACCATGCTGTTGCCATGCATGCTGCAATAATACCCCAACCGGCACTCTATTTATTTAATTTAAACGATAACAGATAAAGAATTGTGATGATCAAACAATCACGTGTTTAATGAGAAACTATTCCCATTTATTTTTTATTTTTTTTAACTAACCTCAAATAGCGAGCCAAAAGTTCTCGAAGGTTGAAAGTAGCAGACCATGACAATGGCTAAGAAAGTATAAGAGCCTACTGATTTCATTACAGGTACAATCAGGTCAATCACATAAGCAAGCCAGTAAGCTACAGCCGCTTTTATTACTCTCTTCGCCATTGGCCAGGTTGCTTTTCTCATAATATATAAGTATACATGAAGAAATCCTTTCCTTATATTAGACCATGTTGGTCGAAATAAATGTCTTTTTGGTATTTTTGGTTTCTCCGGTTTTTCTAGTCCTACTTTGCCATTAAATTCTTTAGTGTACTCGTTTTTGTTATTTGCCGAGGTAACTTTTTGAACAGCTCTAAAAAGTTCATCGCCTGTTAAAGTTAACTCATTATCGTAATAAGGGTCTTCGGAGATAATATCATCGTTAGCGCTAGAGCTACTACCCACTATCTGCGGCGTTAAGGTTGTAATTGTCAACGCCGAATGCGAGCGTATTGCTTGTGGCCTTTCAGAATCCTCCATCGGTTGCAAAATAAATTGATCACGTACTTTTAATGAAATGTCATTTTTATAGAAAATCCGTGCAGATTATTTTTTTAAATAAGCCTTTTCAAATTTAGTAGTCGCAGTTTCAATTGGACGTTAAAAAATAAAACATTTAAATGTTGGAGGAGCTAAATTTGCTTTACCAAAATTGAATTTTGGCGCCATAAAGGTTACGATCACCTTGTCTGATCCGTTGTTTGTTGTAAAATAAGGTTGGAATCGAAGTTTTCACAATCAAAATCATGATATACTAAAAATCTACATTATAAATTATCTTGTATATCTTTTAATTTTATTTTATGTAAAAAGCAAGGAGGGGTGTGATAAACAGATACCCCTTTTTTTAAACTCTGATCATTATAACGTACACATGAGGGATTGGGAATTAGGAATTTTTATCATTAACTTTTCGACTGGATAATTTTTTTTTTTTTTCCTGAATCAGGTGATCAAAGTTTCAACTCATTTATATATGAAAACTTTATTATTAGATTTATAAATAAATTAATTTATTTAATTTTTAAATTAGTTTTAATTAATCGTTTTAAGCACCCTTTTCGGCCTTTTGAGCAACTACATCTTGACTAACAAAAGTACGGCCTTGTTCTACTCCAGGAACTAAATAAGAAATATCATCCCATGGATGACGATATAAACCTTGCTTGAGTCTTCTTTGATCAAGATAATGTCCTAAAAAAAAAATAAAAATAAAAATAAAAATAAAAATAAAATAAATAAAAAAAAATAATTAAATACATCACTTATAATTTTTTTTAAAAAGGGTAAGTAAACACTAACCAGTGAAACCTATACTTCTTCCTAATACAAATAATCCATTTAAGGCTCCAATATTAATATATTCTTCTGCCTCTTCTCTACTAAAAGCACCCGATTCTCTTAATAAGTCGACAAAACAAGCTGCAATTGCACCATCAAGATTAAGGATCAACGAATCCTTTTTAGTGGTAGTAATTTCTTCAACAGCTAAGGCATAATCAAGCAAATTTGTTGCAGGAAAGTTCTTTTTGGCAAATTCTTTAATAATCTCTACACGAAGATCTGGATTATTACGAGATTTGATTTTATGTCCTATACCAAGAATTCTAAATTTAAAAAATATATGTTATTTTAAAATAATCGTCACTGTAAAAGAATTTCAACTTATTAAATTCGAGATAACTAACAATTTGTTTTGCCTACGCATCGAATCTACAAACTCACGAGGTGTCAACCCTTTATCATACGCACTTGTAAACAATTCAGCTGCTCCATCAAGAGCACCACCAAATCTGTCTCCCTACATAAAATTTAACAAGAAATTCTTATATAGTATTTACAAAAAAAAAAAAAAAAAATGTTAAAATATCTCTAAACCTTTAACATACGATTGTTAACAAGCCAGCGCATAAACTTGATATAAGATCTTTTCCTGCTCGAGCAGTGACAATAGTATTATGAGCACTATAAAAAAAAAAGGTTAATCAATTTAAATTAATTGATAGAAATAAATTACATTCAAAACGAAAAATATATATATTGAATACCCAGAAACAGCAGGACCGTGATCTGCGGTCAACATAAGTATCATTTCAATAAATGTACAAGCATAATCTGGTAATCTTCTTTTAAACCATAATAAGCTCAAAACTCCACCAATACCAATGTTTTCCTTGAATACATCGGAAATTCTCATTCCTGCATACAATAACTCTTGACCACGGTCATCGCAAATGGTAGACACAAAACTTGCAGGTTTTCGAACCAATCCAAGTTCCTGTGCCCAAGAATAATCAATAGGTATTTTGGGCGTATCAGGTTCAGAGACTACTTTAATAGTACCATCTAATACAAGTTTTTGATATATTTCATGTAATGCTAATGGTAATTTTTCAAATGTTTCAGGAACAATTCCACCTACTTCTCTAAGAGCATTATTTTTTGCATCAGCAGTTTCAAGATCTGATTGTGCTAATGCGCCTGCATGACCAAATTGAACTTCCGTTGCAAACATTTTAGCACAAGTACCAATACACCAAGCAATCAAAGGTTTCTTGATTCGTCCATCTTTGAGAGCCTCACAAACTTTATATTCTTCGACACCACCAACTTCTCCAAGCAAAACTAAGATTTTACATTTTGGATCACCCTCAAAACGCAATAAATGGTCAATAAATGTTGATCCAGGATAACGATCTCCACCAATTGCAACTCCTTCATATACACCATCTGTTGTCCTTGAAATGATATTATTCAACTCATTGGACATACCACCAGATTTTGATACATAAGCTATTGAACCAGGTCGATATAATTTAGATGAAACAATGTTATCCATCATTCCACCCGTATTACCAATTTTGAAACAACCCGGTTTGATACCACCAACAGTCGCAGGACCAATGATGAGAACTTTTTTTTTCTCGGCTTCATGAAGGATTTGTCTTGCACGACGTTCAGGAACTCCTTCTGCAATTATGGCAATAGTTTTAATTTGGTTCGAGTATTTGAAAAACTCAAAGGTAGAATCATAGACTGATCGAGAAGAAGCAAAGTTCACAACGGTATCAGCTTCAGGAAAATTTTTGATTGCATCTTCAAAGTTATTGAAAACACTTAATAAGGTTTCTTTTGTACCCCAATAAAACTTTTGCACATGATTTCCACCAAATGGATAAATCATAGCAGCCACGGATGGTATCTGACGTTTGCATATGTAATCAAAATCCAACATTCCTTGTACAGCACGTGGTTGCATGCCATACACGAAGGCACGCGTTTCGCTTGTAAATATGGAATACCAAGGACTTTGGCGTATTCCAGGATTTTCAAAAAACGTCATCCTTTCTCGTGGATCAGCTATAGGAGATGTTGGTCTAGAAAGATCCTTTGGTTCTTCATTGATATCTTTTTTGCCTTTTGATGAATGAGTGGATGTTCCAAAAAGTTGATTTTGAAGAGTATTTCCTGAAGAATCAAGTTGACCTGTAACTATATTATTAAGTCCTGATCCATGTCCCAACAAGGCTAAAGGTATAATTTCAGTAATATGTGTTTCGGGGCCGAACACACTAATTTCTACACCGATTTCATCCCCTAATTGCCTCATGGCTCTTAACCCTTCTTGATAATTTGGACCACCACGCCTTACAAAAATTTTGACCTTATGAGCAATTAAAGGTTGTTTGAATTCTTGTAATGCACGGATTAAGCCTTTAAAAGTAACTGCGACATTGGTAAAGTTTGCAATACCACCACCAATAATTAAAATCTTTCCATCAGGACGTGGTACAGGATTGCGAGTCATTAATTCAAGAATAGTTTTTGCATATTCATAAGTTTGAGTTTCAGTTGGTGCCCCAGAATATTCACCATAATTGGCGAGTTCATGGGCGAATCCTAATGCGGAAATCGCATCGCTGTTTTAAAGGGAAAGAATTAAATGAATAACGAGCTCCAAGATTTTATTACAAAAAACAATAAATAAATAAATAATTTTACCTGTAAACGACCGAAGCACCACCACCAGCAACCATGGTCCATATTCTACCGTCTTTGTTTAAAATGGTTAACTTTAATGATGCTCCAGTTTTCGAATCTAATTCTTGAATATAAGCTTCCTCTCTGGTTGATTCTCGACCAAAGGGAGCAGGGAACTCCATAGGAGGTCCTTGATCAATATGAGTCTTTGTTGACTTAGTGTTAACTGCTAATCCTATATTACTCGGAGCACGAGCAATAGCCCATTTTGGCCCAGCTTCAAATTCACCTGTTTGATCTAACTTCGCAGCCAAATCAAGAGAAAATATTTTTGGTACTTCATCATCAGAAGTAGAATCAAGCACCACCAATGGATTGATTTCAAGGTATGTAAAATGTAAATCAACATATACAGCATATAAACGAGATATAAAGTCTACCAAGACATTTTTCTTTGCATCAGAAACATTTATTAATAGTTTTTCCTTAATTTCTTCTGGGCTTGGATAAGAATCATCCACCGGAATTAAAAGCTTTAATGCCTTAGCATCAACATCACCCACTTCAATACCACCTTCATGGGTGAATAAAATAAAATCACCTTCACGGACAGAATTAATATTGATATAATATTCGGTATCGGAAGGATGTGGTACAAATGGTTCAACAAGAAAGGTTTTTAAGACTCCTGTTACTTTATCGACCTAAATGAATAAATTAAGTTAAACATCGCTTCTCAAATTTATTATCCTTATTTAGGATTTATTCACCTTAATTTCTTTACCGGCTCTTTCAATGATCCATTCTTTAACCTGTTGCCAATCAGAGTTCAGCAATAATAAACCAGATTTTCCACGTCTTTTTATAAGTTGATCTGGTTTAACTACCAATTTATCAGTTAATAACCATGGATGTGTTTGTTCAAGAATATTAAGAGTTTGTTGAACATGGTTACTAAATGCT